GACTGACTGACTGACTGACTGATTGACTGAGCATTCACTTCATTAATCATTAACGGAGGGCGCAACTGACGGCATCTCCTGCCCCATGTCATCTTTCTTGCCTGCAAACTTTAACCCACTGTTGCTGAAAGGGACAACGACATTCCGCTTTCGGCAGCAAATCAACTCTCCCAGGTGCTTCCGAAACTTGCTGCTCTGTAGACTGTAGACAATGGGGTTGATGCTTGAGTTGAACACGATCAAAGCGGACGCAATAGCATGGTGAACAGCCTCAAGAGTGATAGTACCAGTAAAACCCAAAAAATATATTAACAACTCAGGAACCCAACACAGTACATATACTAATGTCACAAATATAACCATCTTTGTGACACGTTTCCTGTAGCGGAGCAGCGATCGCTGTGTGGCTTCAGCAGCTTCGTTGTTCACAAACCACAGTCGATACACCACTCTGAAATACAGGGCTCCCATGATGCTGATGGGGATGACTCCTGCCACCACAGACCACCCAACGGTGTACAGCTTGGCATAAATGGGTTTTGAAAAGCTGTGCGCGCATCCGTTAATTTCTTTGATGTATGTTGTTGCCCAGAATCCTGGTGTAGCCCAGATGATTGACACTATCCAGGACAGCATGGCGAGTATGATTATCTTCGTCTTTGTGAGTTTGATTTTCTGGCTATGGGGATGCAACACCGCCCAGTAGCGCTCGATTGCTATAGCAACCAGAGAAAACACAGAGGCGACTGCACCAACCCACCCTGGGGTACCACCAGTTATTATCTTGCATAAGGCAGATCCTACGGTCCCCTGGGGATGGGTGAAAGTTGGAGTTGCTATAAACTGTATGCCAATAAAAATGGCGACCACCATGTCGGCACTTGCAAGATTGATCAGCAGATAGTTGGTGGGTGTCTTCATGGATCTGTTTCTCAGCACCACTAGAATCACCAACGTATTGCCAACAAGGTTAACTAGCATCATTATAGAGAACAGCACTGAAAAGCCAATGTACATCGACGATAACATGGTTCTCTCCAAGTTTCAGTAGTTCCTATGAGAAAACAAAATAAAACGTGTTGTTAGTCTTCTATTTAAAACTACTGTCAAGATAATGGATTAATATTCAGACCCTCAGTCTTTGTAATAGCTCCATACCAGACTGCGGGCAGAAGTTTCCTATTTTCTTCTCTCGTGAGAAATGAGACACGAAAGAAGTGCCATGCTTGAGTTTGTTAGTGCGCATGCTCTGCGCACCACGGAATCGACTCAACAAAAACCCTTTTTTTAGTTCAGTGTTATTCTGAATCGGTTTAGCCTGTAGATTTGAGACAAGATTTAGATTGCTTAAAGCATACGTCCAACAGTAAAAGACAGCAAGAGTAAGCGCATCGATACTTAAATTTGGATGAAGCCACGAGAAATCAAATGTCGACAAGTTTCTTCGTCGCTGTGGGAAACCAGTGGTGCGGAGAACATTGCAGTTTAACAAAAAAGACCACCTTCTTAAATTGTATCGCACGAGATGACACGTCCACGAGACCGGCATTATTCACCTGTCATTAAAAAGAATTATTATTTCTTTTTTCAAAGTATTCTGCTTGGCATGTGTTCATAGAAGTAGAAGACACTATTTTATTGTGTTGTGTTAATTACAGAGGGAAGTCACTCTCCGCGCCACACATGACAGCAAAAGGAGAGATATAAAAGGTGTCACAGAGGCGTTTGAAATTGAGTTTTTGCCACGAATTTTATTTAGTTATTGTTTTCAAAAAAACTGAAGGTTTTCCTGTTTTCTTAAAAAGTGTTTCCTGAGCCTTTTCACATAAGCACCTCACTCGAATAAGCACCGCCCACAAAGCAAAACAAAAAATAAAAACTCTGTATGTCATTTCAAAAGAGAATCGTTTGGATAAAGTCAAGGGTGATTAAGAGGCCGGATTAATTGTCAAGTATATCCTGTTCATATTCTACACCAAATAAAGTGTAGTTTGCACTTATTTATGTGATATATTAACCGTCAATGTTTGCGGCAAGTTTAAGGCATCGGCGTATTTACCGTGGTTTCATTTAAGTTGACAACAGCTAAAGAATATCCAATTCGACCGTACTATTTCATTATCTAAGTCTTAATTCAATACTAATGCATTAGTTTTGGGGCTATTTTAGTGTGATTGCAAATAATTAATTGAATATCTCTGTTTGAATGAACAGTGCTTTTTCGATAATGAATTTAGTTAGCAGCATATCAGCTCAGTCCTTTCAATGGGGTTCAACTTAAGTCTGACAACGCGGGTGTCAAATGCTTGCGGCTTTCACAAAAACGAACTCATAACAGCATACATCCTTAAACTGAGTCAAAGATAACAATGCTATTTAACTCACTAGCTTGAAGAAGAGTTGATCACATTACGCACGAATTACTATTTGTGACGTAACAACTGATAATTGTGGGATTAAAGGAAAATGATTTGTTTTTATTCTTCTTCGACGAGCTCTTTCTGGAACGCGAAGTTGTGGATGACGTTTACACTTTGCAGCACTGCGTTTAACGGAAAACCATTTTAATAAGTTTGCACCGAAATGGGGGAAGAAGAATGTTCTCGATATACATGGCTAATATAATAAAGTATCGTCGCTTAAAAGCCTGGGTACCATATTGTTAAGATTGAAGCACTCACTCTTTACAACCGTTCTCAAGCAAACGTCCCCATTGAACCAAAATTATGATTAAGTACCTTCACTTATACCAAAAATGTGCCTAAAGCACCATCATTAAGATATTAAGCAAGCTGTTGAAGGAAGAGCAAATTGTAATTAATTTCAAGCGATATTTTTCAAAGAAAAAAACTGGTCTTCTCGACCTATTTTATTCAGCGGCACTTACGATAACACTGGCCCCTTTTGTAACATCAGTTCACTATTAGAAACTTTAAACAAAACCAGATCATCATTTTCCGGTCTCCATCGATGTAGATGTGTCTTCTGCGTCAGTGACACTTCGAAGTCAAGACCATAGCCGTCTTTAAGATATGAACCTTTCCCTATGCTTAAAAGAAATTTGAAGTTATAGAAACCTGAATAATTCCACGTTACTGATGCAGAAGATCAAGTTGCATTAAAAGCGCAGAGCTGTTTCAACCATCCTATAAACTCCCCCAGTTGCATCGACATCAGATGACACAGATTAAAAATACAGGAGGGCAAACATTGCCGTTCTCAACATGTAGCTTGGGGCATAAAACATACTGACCTGGACCTCTGTAATGCCCGAGGAATAAGATGAAGGGACACCTCAAACGTCCGTGATGTAATGAGCGCAAACCTGATTTTTCGTAGTTTTAAGGACGACAGGAGTTACTCGTCGGCTAATGATTGGTACACAGGAGAAGGAAAGTTGAAATGTACCGAAATTTACTTCAATTTTACTTGGATTTCATGAATTCATTTTAAAACGTCAAAAATGATTTCTGCACCAATAATACTAAGTCTTCTTTTGGAACAGAATTAGCGATTTTCCTTTCCATAAATAAGTGGAATAATTTTGTTTCAAATACTTCAGATTTGGATGTCAGGATTGATTTTAATTAATTATGAGAACATTCGGAGGGTTATTCGGAAACTGAGATCAAAGAAGGCATTGTCGAATTCTACTTGACAAAAACAATTGCGTCGCGGATCCAAGTTGACAGTGGAAATTGGATATTAACCAAAACAGCTTGATGAGGTAATTGTTTCTGTTATAATTTCCTGAATATCTATCACACCAAAACGTTTCTGTTGGATAATAACTAACTGTCACGGGCTAACCTACACTAGAACACAAAACTAGATTTCAATTTATTTTCATCAGTTTAGTTTTACGATTGCGAAAACATTGAAAAAGAATTTTGGTTTGTATATTCATTTCACAGATAGGTGACAGAATTGTTCAGTAAATGATTTTTAAATCACATGTAAAAATTACGGGTTCATAGTAAATGATCCATGTGCTTTTTTCAGGTAACATGCGTTGCAGTGACGGTTCACTCTTTTGTTTCAAAACGGATTTATTTATTTATGCGTGAAAGTTATATTCTTTTGCCGAATAAGATTACTGATTTTGATTTTGATAGTTAGCTTAATGTTGATTTTAGGTTATTAGAAAAATAAGATAATTTTAATCGAAATTGTGTTTTTGATTCAGTGGAGAGATCGTGAAAATCTAGAAAAGAATTCAAGGCAATCTCATATTATGGATTAATTAAAATCTGGTTTCTCTATTGACTCACTAGAAAGAGGTTCCCCTAAGAGGGGTGAATTCAAGGCAATCAGCTGAAACAATAGATGACAATGTTCAGTGCCGGTCAGAACAAGATCTATACTTGTGAGTTAGCAGAATTCAAAGGTTAGTCCTTTGTTTCTTCAAAATACCGCAAGCAAATCTTTAATAGTTTATAAGAAATTGACTTAGGCATTATATTATATACTAAAATTTACAGGGAAGCTTGCGGCAAAAATGAAATGCAATTATATTGTTTGCTTAACAATTATGAAGTTTCCTTTGTTGCAGTGAAACAAATCATCTTTTTTCTAGCTTTCAATGATTCCTTGCTCAACTGTAAATAACAGGGTTCTTAGTGTTGACGCCAAACCTTAACTCGTATAGTGCTTAGGCCTTTTTTTTAAAAAAAAACACACATTTGTACATTTTCTTTGGTACATATTTTTGTTAAAATTGAACAGATCTGGCTTAAATTTAAAAATCGTTTCTCGCGAGCTTCGATGCATAACACAGTCCAGTGAGAGAGAAGTGTATCTAAAGTTCGTATTGTCTACTCCTGAAAAATCTAAGGAGGCTAATAATTAAACAGTGGCAGAAACTAAAATAGCGACGAAATAATAGGAAACAAAGAATTGCATATGTACTTACAGAATCGCTTGTGTAAGGTTCGTTGCCCGCCCAAGTACAAAACAACAAAAGTCCGCCCGCCGTGTTTTTCTGATCATGAGGAACGTAATTATTTGCATCAGTGATTAAAATAAGTCAGCAATTTCTTAGCAGTCATTGCATATTTCAAGGACAAAAATTCTCAGTGCAACTTAATTCGGATCTAAGGAGCTCAATCGCAAGCGGAAATCAAGCATTTTAGATCCCTTATGCAAATAGTCGTTAATTTATTCAGAATGAGCCGAGGGTACCGATGTGATTGTGTCAGGTGCGTCAATCATTTGATTTGATTGCTCAACCCCTACTTTGGATTTGGATTGGCGCTTGCAGTAAAAAAAAACTCGCTGAGTTCTTTGATAAATGAAGGTGTTACTGTTTAGAACGTTTCAGAAGCTTGACCTTAACCCTGCAAATATTCGAAAACAGGCCTACTCTACTAAGTCACTGCATGCCTGTTATTGCTTTAAAAAAACAAATTACTAAGCTTTCATATGAACCTAGCAAATAACCTACAACAGCTTGAAACCTTATACGGAAGGTCTGAAATCGTTTCTCATCGAAGACTCAGAATTTGTTCTTTGCCCCATTGTAGTGAAAAACTGAATACAAGTCAGTCGAACCACTTGAGTATGGAAAGTAATTCACATTTGTGCTACGTTTGATGATTGGTTTAAAAACCTAGCGAACCTTTCTCATCCAATCAGAAATCAGTAAAACCAACACCAATTGCGACTCGCTTACACACCATTTCCGGCACGTTCAATTTACGAGTACTTATTTATACACCTGTAGTGAAGGCGTGGTGGCTTCATGGTTAGTGCGATCGACTCCGGGTCTAGCGGTCCGGGTTCAAGTCCTGGCCAATAATGTTGCGTTTTGTTCTTGAACAAGACGCTTACTCTAGCAGTGCTTATCTCCAACCAGGTATACAAATGGGTACCGGAAAACTTAATGCTGGGAGTAACCCTGCGATGGAGTAGCATTCCATCCAGGAGGGAGTAGAAATACTCTTAGTCGCTTCAAGCTACGTAGAAAATCGAGGATAAGCGCCTAATGGTGAGTGACCTAATGGACCACTTGGCTCGTATGCAGACTTAACCTGCCTCTTACCTCACCTATTTACACTCATATGATGAGAGAGGCAGGGAGAGGCTTTGTGTTCCCAGGAAAACTACAATGTGACCGCTGACAGCACACAATGCGGAGTCCTAAGCGCTAACCATTAGGCCGACTCACACAAGTTTATCAAGGTCTGTTAGTAAACAGAAATTGAAGTAACTTGAGTTAAAGCTTGAAATAAAGCAAGTGCTTCCTCCCCACCCTTCGCACTTACTAGCGGTAATAAAGGGCCCTCCTTCACTCGGCCTCGCACGTTTTGTTAGGCAAGGAAGGACCCATATTCTTTCTCCCCTCGAACCCGCTCTCGTCCTACCCTCTCGTTTTGAGCACTTATGGGGTCTCTACTAATAAAAACTTCTCTTTTCCTTTCAGGTTTTGCTTTTACTTTATTTTACTGAAAAAATGTCTGATACTGTACATGTAATTAATCGTAAAAAATTGAAAGCGTATGGAAGAAATCTTGAGCTATATGTTTTTAGCCGTGTTCATTAGCTGTAAATGTGATCGGCTTTTAGCTCACCTTCCTTGTCTGATTACAGCTAAATGATCCCTGACAAAAGCTACATTGAGATTTAGGAGGTCAGCACCCGCAAGCTGTGTAAAAGTTAGACACAGCTTGTGTCCCAGGACCTGTAATCTATTTCCATTCTTTTCATGATCAATTGAGACAAACCGATTTTGCGCTACCTAGATTGGTCCTAAATTATGGAATAAACTCTCCAGTAAGGAGAAACTTGCGGAGCTATGAAGTCTTTAAAAAA